CCACACAGAGGGAAGATGAAAAGGGAGTTCAGAGTAGTAAAGCAAGATCAAAAGGGGGAGTAAAGAGGGGAAATGAGAAATAGAAGAAAAGGAAAAACAAAAATAGAGGATAAAATACAAGATAATGGAAAGAAAAGGAGGAGAAAGAATAAATAAACAAAAACAACAAAAGTGAAAAAACCATACCCCCAAACAACAAAACAGTGCAGTTGTTTGACCCTGAGAGGAGCTCCTGAGGTACATGTGGAGGGATGTGACAATAGAGTTTCTGGCCCTAGATGGAGTTCCTATAGGCTTGTTGTTGCTGTTGTTAAGTGCCGTCGAGTCGGTTCCGACCCATAGCGACCCTGTACAGGGTTTCCGAGGGTGTAAATCCTTATGGGAGTAGAAAGCCTCATCTTTCTCCCGTGGAGCAGCTGGTAGTTTCGAACCACTGACCTTAAGGTTCGCAGCCCGATTCATAATCACTACGCTACTTAGGTGTTATTTATGTTCAGGGAACTCAATTAGGAAGTTGTTCCTGGGGGCTCTTGAGAGATCTGGTTACATTGTCAGGACCACAGGGCAGCAGGGAGCAGGGTGACCGGTTAAATGCTGGTCTGGTGGCTCTCCGGGTTTTGTAGATCTGGAGTTGAGCCCACCTGAATCCAGGCACCTAAATGGTGCACCAAAGCAAAGCAGCAGGCCACTGCCTCACACTGGTATGGTTCCCAACCACATGACTTGGAACTTCTGGAGAGCAAGGTCTGCATTGGGGGTAGATGAGAATGGGAGTTGGTCACACCTATGGTATCTATGGAAATGTGGGGAAAAAGAAGGAATCACATCTTTCTTGTCACCTGTGTGAATCTGCTCTGCCAGGTCTCCTCCTGTCATCAAAGCTGCTTACAAGATGGTTGTGCTGCATCTGACTGGCTGTTCATGAGTCAGTCTCCCTCTCATGCTGGCCCTGCTGAGCTTCTCTTCCCAGCAAGCACTCAGTCCATTTCCTTAACCGTTTTCCTGAAGTTCAGGGTTCCAGAATTTTCATCTGTGTTGGTTTATTTTGCTCTCTCCTATGGATATGGAAATTTGGAAGACAAATATCTGGCAGACTGATTGGAAGAAATCCATATTTGTGCCCATTCCAAAGAGAGGTGACCCAATGGAATCCTTAGACAATCTCTTTGATATCCCATGCAAGTAAAATTTTACTAAAGGTAATACAGGAATGGCTGCAAGCATACATTGACAGAGAACGTCAAGAGGTTCAAGCTGGATTTACAAAAGGCTGTGGAATGTGGGATATCATTGCTGATGTCCGATGGATCTTGCCTGAAAGCAGAGAATATCAGAAAGATGTTTACCTGTGTCTTACTAACTACACAAAGGCTTTAGATTGTGTGGATTATGGCAAACTATGAACAACATTGCGAAATATGATTATTCCGGAACACTTAATTGTGCTCATGAGGAATCTGTACCTGGACCAAGAGGCAGAACATGGCAACACTGAATGGTTTAAAGTTAAGAAAGGTGTGTGACAAGGTTGTATTCTTTCATCATACTTATTCAACCTGTATGCTGAGCAAATAATCCGAGAAACTGGGTTCTGTGAAGAAAAACATGGCATCAGGATAGGAGGAAGACTCATAAACAACCTGTGATATGCAGATGATACAACCCTGCTTGCTGAAAAGTGAAGAGGACTTATAACATTTACTAATGAACATCAAAGAGCACAGCCTTCGATATGAATTACATCTTAATGTAAAGAAAACAAAATCCTCACCACTGGACCAATAAATAACATTCTTATCAACAGAGGAAAGATTGAAATTGTCAAGGACTTCATTCTTCTTGAATAAACTATCAACACTCACTGAAGCAGCAGTCAAGAAATCAAATGACGTATTACATTAGGCAAATCTGCTGCACAGGAACTTTTTAAAGTGTTGAAGAGAAAAGGTGTCAGCTTGAGGACTAAGGTGCGCCTGACCCAAGTCATGGTATTTTCAATAACCTTATATGCATGTGAAAGCTGGACAGTGAATAAGGAAGACTGTAGAAGAATTGATGCTTTTGAGTTATGGTGTTGGAGAATATTGAAAGTGCCACAGGCTGCCAAAAGAACCAACAGATCCGTTTTGGAAGAAGTGCAGCCAGAGTGCTCCTTGGAGGCCAAGATGGCCAAACTTCGTCTCTCATACTTTGGACATATTGTCAGGAGGGACCAGTCGCTGGAGAAGGATATCATGTTTGTTAAGGTGGAGGGTCAGAAAAAAAGAGGAAGACCCCCAGCAAGATGGACTGGCCAAGAGGCAGCATCGATGGATTCAAGCGTGGCAACAGTAGTGAGGATGGGCCAGGAAAGGGCAGTGTTTCGTTCTGCTGTGCCTAAGGTTGCTATAAGTTGGTACCGACTCGTTGGCACCTAACAACAAGAGCGGATATGGATATGCACTAGACTGCTATTTCGGTTCAAGCACAAGGTGGCGGTTCAAAGCCACCAGCTGCTCCTTGGAAACCCTATTGAGGGTCATTGTAAGTCAGAACTGATTCCATGGCAATTAACAAAGACAACAATCTTTGTTGTAGATGGTCCATATAGTGTGTCTGACTAGTCTTCCAACTTGTTGGCAATCCCAACTAGTATTGTCATGTTGTTAACATTTTAATAGGACTTCAGGTGTGGTGCTGTGGGATCAGCACCAGACTATTAACCACAAGGTCGGCAGTATAAGGTTAATAGCTGCTCCTCAGAAACCCTATGAGTTGGAACCAACTTGATAGTACTTAACATTTTAATGTTTTTTGAAAAGTTATCTAGCATTTAATTTCATAACATATTGGTTACTCAGACTCTGGGTTTACTTTTTAAAAAAAATGTAAAATTATAATTAGATACAGTTCAAGAAGCATAGATATAATTCTAAAGCAGCTGAGGTCTAGAAGTACTTGCTGAAAACTAACCAATTACTTGTGTGATGTGGATCATGTTGCTTAATTTCCCTGTTGCAAAATAAAAAGATCCTTTCAGCCTAAAAAGCAAAATTGCTTTCATTTTACAACAATGCAGGACAGGGACTAAGTGCTGGCTTTCAGAGTTTCAGGTAGGGCATTTATAAAGCAGCAGAGCATCCCTGAATAAATGACTTAATTGCTCAATAAATTATTATCTCTTTGTGTGAATCAACAAAACAATTATATAGAGTTTCTTGTCAGTTACTTTATCTGTAAAATGGGGTAATTGTTGCTGTTGTTAAGTGTTGTCAAGTTGGTTCCGACTCATAGCGACCCTGTAAAGGATTTCTGAGGAGCAGCTGGTGGGTTTGAACTGTCAATTTTGTGGTTTGCAGTCCAGTGCTGATACCACAATGCCACACCAGGAGTCCAAAATGGGGTAGTTGTTGTTGTTAAGTGCCATGGAGTCGGTTCCGACTCACAGTACAGGGTTTCCGAGTCTGTAAATCTTTACGGGAGCAGAAAGCCTCATCTTTTTCCCGCAGAACAGCTGGTAGTTTCAAAGTGCTGACCTTGCGGTTCACAGCCCGATTTGTAACCACTACTAGAACTAGCAGAAAAAAATTCTCTCAAAGGTGTAAGATTATATGCATGCACAACAGATAGCCAAAGATCAGAGGTGTGGGGAAGAAAGTTGATAATTTCTACCAATTTAGTAAACTTTGTCTTTTCTTGAATGACTTCCACATACATTCTAAGATAAACTACCATCTGCCTGTTTTCATGGTGTGGCACTGCAGGATAAGCACGGGACTGCTCACCACAATGTTGGTGGCTCGAACCCACCAGCCTCAGAATTGGGTCACTATGTTGGTGGTTCGAACCCACTGGCCCACAGGGTCACTATGAGTTGGAATTGACAGCACTTAACAACCACCACCATCTGCCTAGCTGTACTTTAGTGCTTTATTTTTGCCCTTACAGAGGATGTGATAGAACGTGTATTAGTTTGACTCATGAGAAGAATTACTAGGTTATGACTTCTAGTAAAATTGCAAAACAAACAAAAGATCTAGGATTCCCTCTTGCTCCCTAACACCCAAGAAGTCCCCTATTTTGCACTTTTCTTACTGATTTGTCTTCAACTTGTGCGTAGCATTTTAGTGCTTACATATACCAAGGAAGTTTCAGAATCTAATTACAGTAAAAAAAAAAAAAAAAAAAAAAAAAGAATCTGAATCTATTAACTCCTTAAAAAAAACAAGTGGCTAAGAGGGGACTGACTACTGAATCTTTCCAAAGATTAGAAGTTTCCATTCAGAATTGAAGAGAAAAACATTCAGACTTAAGGCTAATAATCAGGAGAAATTGGCAGTATAATACAATACAGTAGTACTATACATGGGATTCCCGGCTCAACCTACAATTTCTTGGAATCTTCGTTTTCTCATCTGTAAAATAGGGGATTATGACAATCCCTACCGCCTGCAGGTTGTTCTAAGGATTCTTTGTTCTAATACATATCAAAAGTATAGTGAAATGTCTGATATGGGCTCAGTAAATTGCATTATTGCAACCACTTCACCTGAAATTTTAGCGTTAAGTGCCTGGGAAAAACAAAACAAAACAAAAATAAGGGACGTGTGACGGGCTGGGAACTTTAAGACATTTTTCACCAAGTCAGGGTTGCTCGTGAAATCAGTCCAATCAACCGCAAGGCGCCGACTGCAGCCACAAAGAAGACATCCCACCCACTCTTGGAGAGTCGCAGAGTCCCGGAGCTGGTCTTGTCCTGCCACTTTCGCAGCTACAGAGTCTTCACAGTAGTGTCGCGGCTTCTGACTAACCCGGAAGTCCACACAGGGATGGCTAACGGAACGCCCCCAAGGTGTCCAGCTTTGGCTTCTCCGCTACATCTCCTATCGCGCGCTTCAGGAAAACAGTTATTGATTCAGTGACACTAGTAGCCGCCCTCCCTCCAGGTTCTTCCGGAAGCCGTCGCCCTTTCACCCCGGAAGTGGGCGGGAGAGGAAGGGGCTGGTGATGCTGGAACAAACATGGCTGCTCCGGCGCCTGTCGGGTCTTCGGGTTCCTGCTGTTCTCGACTGGCTGCGGGTCTCCGGCTGCTCCCGCTGCTGGCGCTGTTGCAGTTGCTAGCCGAGCCTGGCCTGGGCCGCTTTCACCACCTGGCGCTCAAGGTAAGACCAGGTCTAGGGCGAGGCCGCTTGCCCGGGTCTTGGGGACAACTTTGGCTCGTATGGGGCCTCTGGGCGATTAGATTCTCCCTTTGGCCCCCAACCTCGGTCTTTCTCCTAGAGGGGTCGGGAAGGGCTGTGGACTGGTGGGGTGGACGGCGCTGGACCGTGCAGCTCTCGTCCGGCAATCTGGAGAGGGCAGGAAGATTTCAGTTGAAGAAGGGGTGTGGGCTGATCTGCGGCGTAACCCCGAAGGACACGGGAGTACGCTTCCCTAATTCCTCACTGAGTGTAACTTGCTTTTTCTCCCGTGTGTTTGACAACTTTGGTCCCTGACTTCCTTGTCTGTGTTCTTAGCTCTTCCATCTCCGTGTTCTTTTTGGTTTAAAGGTACTCGGAACCTTGGCCTCAGTTTCCCGGCTCGGTTTAGGAGGCTTTTTGGATTGAACAAAGCAAGCATGTCCAGGAGGAATTTCAAGTCTCCTTTAGAACACATGACCGAATTTTAAGCCATCATTCAAAATGTGTTTCTATTTAGGGGGCCTGCCTTTTTCTTCCTCGCTCCTGTCACTGTCTACAGGAGAGATAATGTTGTTGAGTCCGTCGAGTAAATTTCCTGTAGAGGGATTCTGAGGCTGTAAATCTTTGGGGGAACGTAAAGTCTCATCTTTCTCCCTTGGAGACAGATAATGGTGGTGGTGATTATATGCCATAGAGTCGGAAACAACTCATAGCGACTCTGTACAGGGTTTCCGAGGCTGTAAATCTTTACGGGAGCTGAACACCTCATCTTTCTCCCGGGGTTGCTGCTAGTTTCGAACTGCTGACTTTGGGTTCACAGCCCGATTTGTAACCACTACACTACCAGAGCTCCTTGGAGGCAGATAATAGACCTAGATAAATGATAGTCTGGAATGCTCCCCTGGGTCAAACTCACAGTTTAAAGTCTTGTGAATCTACTTATTTATCTGGGGAATACAAAAATAAATCGTTAATTACTCAAAGACTCGTGCATATTTTATTCGTAATATGCACTTTTAAAATATTTTGTGAGCTTTTAGAAAGTTGGTCATTGCTTTCGTAAGCCAGGCAGAATTGTATTTTGTGAATGTAGAGGTTAAGGAATACAGACCCTGAATTAAAATGCCTGGCCAGAGAGTATTATACTTATGGCTATTAGCTTTTGTTGATTGTAAACGAAAATTATCCTGATTAAGATGGGAGGATAGATGAGTCCTGGATCTTTTCAGACTACTGGAAACTGTAGAACTTCTTTCCAGAGAAGTGCACAAGGAAATACAGACAAAAGGTTTTTGGAATTTCTGGGCCAAGACCAGTTTTATGACTTCAGGTTAAGAATTCCAGATCTACAAATCACAATAAAAACTTAATAAAATTCTGGTCTTTAAAATTCTTTCATTTTATAGTTTACATCTTGGATCTTAGGTTAGGTGCTTAATTCATGCAGTTTATAAAGAAAAAAGCTAGTAGTAGGACACACTAATGGACTCCTAGTGTGGCGCTGTAAGATCAGCACTGGTCTGCAAACCAATAGCTCCACAGTTCAAACCCACTAGCTGCTTCTTGGAAACCCTATACAGGGTCCCTATGAGTCAAAACTGACTGGACGCACTTAACAACAACAAAGTACATATTAGGACCATGTCTCCTGCCATCCAATCATTGCTCTTTAATCACATTTCTGGACTTAAAATGCCAGATGACCAGCATGGTTATGCTATTGCTAGCAATACTAATGTGTGGCGTTGTGGGTTAATGCACCAGACTGCAAAGCAGTCTGCAAGGTTGGCGGTTCAAGCTCACCAGCTGCTCCTTGGAAACCCTATATAGGGTTGCTATGGTTTTGAACTGACTCCACAGCACTTAATGACAACAAGCAATACTGATTGATGTAGGTGGAAAACAGAAATTAATGTGATTCTGGTGATTAATTTTTCTCTTTTGTGCTTAATTACTTAATCTTTCTCTTTGCACCATGTTTTATAAATTCCATAATCAACACTGCAATTATTTCTTTTCTCTAAAAATAAACATTCTAACTTCTTGTCCAAGGAAATGGAAATCATCTGAAGAAAGCCTGTCATAGCGGCAGCATTAGCTTGTCTGTTTGATTTAAGACTGAGAAATATAGGAGCCTTGATCAGATTATAATCCTATACAGGCAACAAAAGCATGAAGAAATCACTGGGTATCAGAAATACTCATTGATCTTTTTATCCTGGAGAATTTTGCGCGTCAAGTAGACAGACTACTGTAAAGTACCACAGCTCCAATAACCATCAGCCATTAGCTAATGCTGTCTAATTTTCATCCATATCCCTTCTTGCCATATTTTTAACTTAGAAAGGAATCCTTTCATTTTTAAATTCACTTTCTTATCCCATGATACATTTTTCTTTTTTTTTTCTAGTCTCCTCATAGTCCTTCTCTTTGGACCTTTCTCTAGATTTCTTACAAACAACTTTATGGAGCTGTAATTTACATGCCATAACATTTACCCATTTTATTGTTAGTAAAGTTAATGAATTCTGCAACTATCACCACAATTCAGCCACGGAATATTTTCCATTACCCTAATAAGATCCCTTGTGCTGGTTTTAATTAATCCCCATTTTCTCTTTCTGCATGAAACCAAAAACTAAACTTGTTGCTGTTGAATCCATTTTGACTCATAGTGAACGTAAAGGACAGAGTAGAACTGCCCAGTAGGGTTTCCTAGGCTGTAGTCTTTATGGACACAGACTGCTACATTGTTCTCCCATAGAGTAGTTGGTGGGTTTGAACCTACAACTTTTGGTTAGCATCGAATGCTTAACTATTGTGCCACCAGGGCTCTTTCCTTCTCTTCTAGCACCAGACAACCAGTAATCTGTGCTCTTTATAGATTGCTGTTTCTGGATATATAGATAAGATTTTTTGTGTATGACGTCTTTTCACTTAATGATTTTCAGTTTCATTCATGTTGTACCATGTATCCATATATATGTATGTACCTCTTTTTGTTTAAATTAAATATATTTCATTAAGCAGAGTCCTGTGTGGCCATGTAGGATAAACTCTCAACTGCTGACCACAAGGTCGGTGGTTCAAACCCACCAGTCGCTCCTTGGAAACCTTATAAAGGGTCTCTGTGAGTCAAAACTGACTCAACAGCACTTAACAAAAATAACAACATCCCATTAAGTGGCTATACCACATTTTACTTAGCCATTCACCAGCTGATGGGTATTCTGGATTGTTTCTACTTTCTGACTGTTAATATTCACGTGCAAGTCCCTGTGTTGTTGTTGTGTGCCTTCAGTTGCTTCTGCCTCTTAGTGAACCTGTCTAGGGTTCCTGAGAGTGACTGGTGGGTTTGAATGACTGACCTTGTGATTAGTTGGCCAGTGCTTATCCTACAGCCACACACCAGGGCTCAAGTCAGTGTGTAGAAATGTATTTCCATTTCTCTTGGATGGATTCACAGGAGTGGAATGGAAAAGTGACTGCGTTTTGCTGATTGTTTCCTTGTGGTATAATTTTATATGTTCATCTATTCTTTTCATTTTCTGTAAATTGGTAATTAGATTGCTGGATTATGTGCAGGTTTGCTTAGTTAGAAACCAGAAGCATGGTTGTCTCTTTGTGATTGTGGCAGCAATTGGTATACAGTGCTTACATTCCTTTGGTCATTAGGCATGTTGTTGTTTTTAGGTACTATAGAGTTGGTTCCAACTCGTAACTATCCTATGCACAACAGAAGGAAACATTGCCTGGTCATACTTCTTATGTTTGAACCCATTATTTTTGCCACTGTATCAGTCTGTCTTGTTAGGATTCTTCCTCTTTTTCGCTAATCCTCCAGTTTTCCAAGCATGATGTCTTTCTTCAGGAACTGTTTCCTTTCAGTAACATGTCCAAAGTATGTGAGATGAAGTTTTGCCATCCTTGCTCTAAGGAACATTCTGGCTGTGCTTCTTCCAGCATAGATTTGTTTGTTCTTCTGCAAGTCTATGGTACTTTCAGTATTCTTCATCAATACCATAATTCAAATGCATCGATTCTTTTACTGTCTTCCTTATTCATTGTCCAACTTTCACATGCATGTGAGGTTATTGAAAATACGATGGCTTGGTTCAGGTGCACCTTAATCCTCAAACTGAAGTTTTGCTATTTAATCTTTTAAAGAGGTCTTTTGCATCATATTTGCCTAATGTCTTTTGATTTCTTGACTGCTGCTTCCATGAACATTGATTGTGGATCCAAGCAAATTGAATCTTTGACAATTTCAGTCTTTTCTCCATTTATCATGATGTTTTTTATTGGTCCAGTTGTGAGGCTTTTTATATTCTTTACACTTGAGGTACAATCCATATTGAAGACTATAGTCTTTTAAGTCTTATTTGCTTCCAGCAAGCAAGGTTGTGCCATCTGCATATCTCAGGTTGTTAATGAGTCTTCATCCAATCCTGATGCCATGATCTTCATATAATCTATCTTTGTAGCGTAGTGCTTATGAATCAGGCTGCTAATTTCAAGGTCAACATTTCGAAACTACCAGCGGTTCCACGGGAGAAAGATGAGGCTTTCTACTCCCATAAAGATTTACAGCCTCGGAAACTCTATGCAGGGTCACTGTGAGTCGGCACCGACTCCATGGCATGTAACCACCACCACCACCACCACCAGATTATTTGCTCAGTGTACAGATTAGATGAATAAGGTAAAAGAATATGACCCTGACATACACCTTTCTTGATTTTAAACCATTCAGTATTCCCTTGTTCTGTTAAAAAACTGCCTCATGGTTGATACACAAGTTCCTCATGAGCACAGTAATTTTTCAAGAATTCCCATTCTTTGCAGTGTTATCCATAGTTTGCTATAACCCACACAGTCGAATGCCTTTGCATAGTCAACAAAGCACAAGTAAATATCTTTTTGGTATTACCTGCTTTCAGCCAGGATTCATCTGATGTCAGCTATGATATCCCATCCCCCAT